AAATACCAAAACTATTATACAAAATTTAAAAATTTTGAATATATATTTTAGCTAAAATGATATCTTATAAATTATCAAAAAAATGTTTTTAAAATGATATATTATACATCATATATACACGTAATATATAAGCATATCATCATCACTTATACAAAATATTTTTACTGGATTTGTCGAGTCTTACAAATTTTGGATTAGTTAAAATTTACTATGTATTCTAATTATATTTATGTCGAAACTTATTATATATTATCTTTTAAATTAATCGAGACTTATAAAAAATAACTAGAAAAAATAATAAGTTTTTACAAAAAAATGTAAGTCTCGACTAATTTAAATTTTATAATTCTTGATTAATCTAGTAAGAATACTTTGTATAAATGTTGATAATATGTATATATGTTACATGTATATGTTATATTTCTTTTTAAAAATATTTTATTTTTTTAAATAATTTATAAGTAATTATTTTATAACCTATTATATATATTCAATTTTTAAAAAATATATGATAATTTTAGTATTTTTAATGTATATTTTTTAGTAATTTAAATTTTATTTTTAGTATTTTTACATACATTTTTTTATAATTTAAATAATTTTATATTTATAATTTAAAATATTTTTATTTTAAAAAAGTTAAATAAGGCATTAAACTTTTTAAAACAAACCAATTTAGCCCCTGAACAAAACTAGAAAAACCAATTTAGTACATCTGTCACGTCATCAACTACAATGAACTATCAAATCATCATTGTATAACGCTACATCAACAATGTAAATTGTTACGTCAATACTATAATAATCAACTACAAAAAACGTTAATAAAAAAATACATTAAATTTATTTTTTAATTAGAGGATCACATTCAAAGAAAAATAGTACAAGTATCACGCTAGATTAATTTTGGGCACTACTAAAGTTGTCAAGTTCTACATAAGGTACCAGTCAAACCACTTTCTTTTAACAGCAAAACATCCCACTCACGCACAGCATCGAATGAGATGTCCATACCTTCCAACCCATTCCACTCAATGAGATGTCCATACTTTCCAACCCATTCCACTCACTTAGAAAAAACTAATATACTATTATTGATCAACTAGTGGGGAATCAAAAACTCGTTATAAATAAAGTCATTCGAACTATTTGAAGGGAGGAAGCAATCAGAAAACACGAAAATAAAGGGGGCTATTCAACAGACTGGTATGTTAAGAAGCAATATATGTTAAGATGTTCCATTTGCATTTCAATTGGAAATTTCATTTCTATATATGTTGTTGAATAAAAAAAATTGAAGCTTAGAATAGAGATAGGATTAATTTACCCTCTGTTTGGAGTTTTCTTTAGCACTGTTGATTTTGTCGAGAGTGAAAATCAAAGAATGAAGGGAGTCGTTGAGTCCTTGGTCGCCTTGCATGAGATGTGGGAAGTCCGGTGAGTTGTCGGCGGCGTTGAGTGTGAGTTTGAGAGGTGGTCGTGAATGAAGAAGAAGAAAGGTTGAGAAATGGGGAAGGCGGCAGTGTTAGCATACAAGGATACAAGTGGTTTTTTTTATGAAATCACGCTTATGTGTGATCTTGGTGGTGAATATAAACCGAAGGAAACAAGTAAAAATTCTGCTACCCGAAAAATGAATTGTCCATCCCAATTGGTAGGAAAGTATTCAAGTATATATAATGGTTGGTTGATAAGTGTAATATGTGATGAACATAATCATCTTCCTGCACAACATATGGAGGGGCATCCATATGCGAGACGATTGTCTAATGATGAATATCGATTGGTTGAAGATATGACAAAGAATAATGTGCCACTACGTGACATTCGATCGATATTAAAGTCGCAAAATGAAAATAACGTGTCAACACTTAAAGACATATATAATGCACAATATAAAATTTGCAAGTCCTTACAAGTTGGGAAAAGTACGATGCAGGTAAAACATTACACATCTTTTTTTGTTTCCTTTATATTTTAACTTTTTTATTTTCAAATAATCAAAGTGTAATTTAATTATGAAAATTTGAATGCAGGTTCTTATGTCTCTTTTACACTCCAATGGTTATATTCACGACTTTTCTACAAATGATGTTACGAACGAGCTGGAAGTTTTATTTTTTGTTCATCCGACATCTTTTAAGATATGGCGTGCATTCCCACATGTGTTGATGATAGATGCTAAGTACAAGACGAACAAGTATAATATGCCTTTTGTTGAGATTATTGGTGTAACTTCTACAAGAAAGATATTTTGCATAGCTTTTGCCTTTATAAGTGAAGAAAAGATGGACAATTATAAGTGGGTGTTAGAGTGTTTAAAGTTGACACTAGATGAGTGCATGCTACCATGTGTTATAATTACAAACAGGGAGTTGGCTCTCATGAAAGCATGCGAAAAAGTTTTTCCAAATGCTACTCGATTACTTTGTAGATAGCACATTAGCCAAAATATTTTGAAGAACTGCAGGCCAACAATCAAGACGCAACGTGATTGAGACTCTTTTCTTTTGGCGTGGAAGTTACTAGAAGATTCTCCGACGTGGATATCGTACATGGAGAAAGGTTACTTGGATGAACAATGACTGAATAATTATAAAGAAATGTTTGTGTCTGTATGGAGTGACCAGTCTCTCAACTTTGGCAATCGCACAACCAGAGTTGATAGCCAACACGCCAAGTTAAAAAAGTACTTCAAATCCAAAAATATTCATTAGATCAATTTGTGGGCTATATCAATCAAATCGTGCAGTCCCATGTTACAGCAATAAATGAAAGCTTTGAAAGAAGTAGAATTTATCATTATCATCAACATAATCAGCCATGTTTCAACTTATTACGGGGTTTTGTTTCAAATGAGGCTCTTGATATGATTTTAGGAGAATTACATCGATTGAGTGATCTTGAGTTTAACTACTTAACATGTGGTTGTCAACTTCGTAAGAGTTGTGGGCTACCTTGTGCTTGCGTACTTTCAGCGTACTTAAATTCGGGTCAGTTTATTTAACTAAAATCATTTGATTATTTGGAGGTCTTGGTTTTTTAGAAACTAAAACTTGTTTTTTCAGGTGAGGATATTCCTTTGGATTCAACTGATATTTTTTGGAGGACACTAGATGTTTAATGGTCAACATCCTTAGAAAATGAAGATATTCAATGTGACGATGAACTGCACATTTCCAAAGAAGAATTCAAAAGGCAGTCCAACGCTGGAAAGAAGAGTTTCTTAAGAAAGCTATGCGATATATTCAATCCAATCATAAATCTTATTGGAGAACCCGCAATTAAAAAAATACTCGCGGGCGGCCAAGCTTGAAAAAACAAAAAAAAAAGAAGTGTGTTGAACCGAAAAATTAAGATCCTAGTAAAAGTAGTTATTCCACCAGATTTTTTGATATAGACTTGAATTTGAAACCGAAAAATATTGAAACGACGAGACACAGTTCATATGTAACAAGCGCACGCGACTTGTTCCCGGATTTAAACGAAGAACCCGCGAGACACAGTTAATATGTAAGCCAGTCGTTTGCCAGACCTGGTTCGGAAAGATTTTTGAAACAACTTCCACAAATTTTCTGTCCTTGTCTTATAGGTTTACAAGATGTAATATGTGACGAAAATTGCGGATTTCGATCAGTCGCTGTCGCTCTTGGTTTATCTGAGGATCAATGGCCTCGAATTATGTCAAACTTGGTGCGGGAGTTAGATGTTAACCATCAAAAGTATAAGTATATATTTGGAACGACAGGTTATAAAAAATCTATAAAATCGTACAATTAGCCGGAAAATGAATGGAAATGCCAAACGGGATTGATTATTGCTTCTGGATACAATAAAGTTGTTATAAGACTAGCTAATGGAGGAAACGTCGAAAGTTGTACTATGATTTTCCCGCTTTGGTCCAGTCCACCACAATCAGAGTCACATGGGACAATAGTCATTGCACATGTGAATGATAACCATTATATTAAAGCGGATTTACGCGAAGGTTGTCCTTTGCCGATGACTCATCCACTTTGGATCACATATAAAAGTGACATTGCATCTGCATGGAAAAACCCATATGTTAGTCGTCAGGAAGAGTTTCGTGAATATTATTTTTCGTATTCCTGAAACTTTTGACCTATCGAAGTAATTATGTAATCTTTATTTATTGTAATTCTAGTTTATTTATCAATTAATGTTTTAATATTTACTTTTTTATACATGTATGTATAATTAAATAAGTAAAAAAGATAACAAAAATTTTAAAAATAAATAATTATTACATAATAATTAAAAACTTTAATAAAAAATAAAAAAACATAATCATTACATTAATCTTTTGGTGTTTTAATAAAAAATTGGTAGGTTTAGTAATCTTTTGGTGTTTTAATAAAAAATTGGTAGGTTTAATAATCTTTTAGTGTTTTAATAAAAATTTGGTAGGTTTAGAAAAATAATTGGTATATTTAGACTAACCTTTAATTTTTTTTAACTACAATGGCTGCCTTTTAGGCTAATAATAATATATACTTTGCTTTCGGAAGTGGGGCGATTCCTACAAAGTTGGTGTCAATTCATATTTTGTGGATTTGATGTTCTTCAGCAATGTGTCCTTATTTCCCGGATAATTACAACGAAAACCAACGCGTTTCGAGCAGCCAAGGGACCGATGGTGAATTGGGCACTATCCGTTGAGTGCCAAATGCAGAGCCAGATCCACAGCAAGTGACCCGGTGTGCATCAAAGGTGTCCAAAATTTCAAGCTTGGTTTCAACTTCAAGCCACTATTGATTAGGTTCTTCGTTCCTTATCTGATACAATCAAAACTATGGTTGTTTCGTATTCATGTCAGACACGTGAAAGCATACAGCCCCCCAAACGTGAAAAACCATCACCCGAATCGGCGAATCCAAGTAAGATACTTGAGAATAAGAAAGAATAAATGGAGAGTATAGTAGGCAGCAGAGCGATACAGAAAGAACTAGTAATCATGTATCAATATAAAGTTTTCTGGTTTTCAGTACAAGCCGATAAAACCCATGAAACAAAGTAACTACACTTATTGATCACTTCTTTGAGCTGGCTTTTTGGAATTATTAATACGACGAACCTTTAAAATGCTTTTTTGACAAGTCCTGAAACAAACAAGAGATTAACATATTGACTACGAAATAACGTTTCGAATTTGCAGAAAAGATTAACAGAAAAATGCTATAAAGAGCAAGAAATGAAGCGAACAAGAGACCCTGCGAAGATAAAAGGAGGATATTGGGTATTCTTCTCAACTAAATGAACCATTTCAAGATTGGTGCGTAGACTAAAGGTAATTAACATATGAAGTCCCAAGGGTGAAACCTGGACAATATGTGACAATTATTTGCTTTTCGAACTCAGTGAGTAGAATATCTATGCCCTAGCTCTACAAGTCCATAGTCCAAACATGACATATTCTAAAAAATGATATGTTAAATAAAAGGCTTGCTAAAACAGCTAATCAAAACCTAGACATTTTCTCAGCCATATCAAAAGTCGGGCTAGAATTCTATGACCTACTGCTGTCAAACAAGAAAGGTTTACCAATATGATATCAAGAGGTGTAACCCCATAAATCCAAGGGGATTGACGGGGAGAAGCAATTGTCAGCTATTAGATGGAGAAGCTAAACATGACTATCATCGTCATAGTAAAATATTGCCAACGAAAGATTAGACGTTCATCATTGTAGATCAAAGTATACAAACTTACCTCGACTGGTTCCGTGTGGGCTGTCATGGGAGTCCAAATATTTTCCAAATTGTAATAAGCTCTTGCCTTCCCGTCGAGAGCACGAACTATCAGCCTACCTAAATAAAAGAAACAGTCGCACAAAAAATAAATCGTCAACGAAGTGTACAACATATAGAATCGATGTGGAATATTCGATACTATTATCGCAGAAGATTATCCTAAAACTGCTACCCGTTTGTATGTGTTAAGCCAATTCCTTCAAAGCAGCTAATTGCATAAGCAAATAGAAACATTTTATTTTTGGATAAAAATCATTACCAATGCAAGCACAGAAGGAAAGTGCTAAAAAAACAACAAAGTGAACGAAGCACGAACCCGAGTCGATGACAATCCATTTTCCTGTCTCTTGCCCTTGCACACTGGGTAATACCATCCTCTCAGCTCCTTTTTGCTTCTGCTTAACCTGTTCCAGCAAATAAACATAAGAATAATCACGGAGACGATCGAGGAAACTTGGAAATCAAAAGCAAACATTCGTACCTTGTAAATTAGGGCTTGGGCGATGTTTTTAACGTGCCACGGGGACCTCCCGGTGGCAACAACCATGAAATCGGCCCAATCGCATTGGTCCCCGACCGGAACCACCGACACGTCATATTCTCTGACGTCGCTCAGAACCTTCTCCACCTCTTGCAGGCTTAACAACTCATTGCTTCCATTCACGGCGGTTGAAGAAAACGTCCGATTTAATCGAGAAAACCTTGCACGACTCATATGCGAGAGAGGTCGAAGGTATCGATGATGCAGATATCGGGATCTTAAAGTCGACCACATCAGATCGCGACTCCTGCAGCTCTTTGAACAGACAATCGCCGCTTCCTCGGGCAGTTAGTCAAAAGCAATAACCTTGCGACGCCGTTTTAGTGTTGCTCAAGTATAGTTTTATTAGGATGATCATTTAGGTTCGATAGGATTAAATTTTTTGTTTATTCGAATTTCACTCAAGGGTTTGTTTATTTTTCCGTAATTGGATTTTGGGAAAATGTTTTATTTTTTTTAGTGTTTAATTGACAAAAAAAAATAGTTGTTTAATATAATTCATTTTCTTAGACAATTGAAATATTTTTATATTTTTGAAATTGATTAATTTTTGTAAGTTATTTTACAAATTTTTTACTTTACATAAATACTCAAAAACATCATTATTTTTATATTTAATATTAATATTATTTTGCTATCATTTTAATAAAATATTAATTATTAAGTATATTTATTGATAATTTTAATAATATAATATACTATTTTTATTGTTATAATTTTATTTATTTTATTTTAGAATTATATAATAAATTAAAAATAAAATTAATATTATTTATTTTTTCATAAAATAATAATATTGAATTGTTGAATATTTAAAATATACTCTTTAAAATATTTTTATTTTAATATTATAGTTTTTAATATTTTAATAATATATATTTTAGTAAGTACTTATATAATTAATATAGTATTATTTTTTAATAGATTATTAATATAATTGTAATAATTTATTTTTATAAAATATAATAATCTTAATATTTTTATTTATAAATTACATATATATTTTTAATGATGATATTGACATAGATAATATTAAATAAATTATTCTAATATTTTAAAAATAACTTTAATATTTTGTTAATAAATAATATTGTTTATTGTATTGGATGTTTATAATAAATAATTTTAAAAAAATTATCAACCATTGAAAAATGAATTACACAATATCATTCAAACATTGTAAAATGATTTTCAGAAAATGTTTTTCAGGAAATATAATTCATCTTACGAATTCATTTTTTAAAATCTGTTTTCCGTGAAACAAAGAGATATGTAGGATCATATAATTTTAAAAAAAAAATCAATGTGGTTCTCGTATTCTTTTTACACCTAATATATCCCTTAAACTTAAAAAACATATTTAATATTAAACAATTAAGTGATCTAATTGACAAAACTAAAAGATCGTAAAAGTAAAATGAGTAAATATAAAATAGGTTATATTTAGCTTTAAAATATTATTATTTAATTTATTTTTACTGTTTTATTTTCTATTGAAACTACAAAAGTCAACTTTATAATTTTTGTGGCGCTCAATATATACATCGATCTCTACTAGTTGTCATGTGTAGGGTTGTAAATGAGATGAGACAGATCGTGAGTTATTCGAGATCGACTCGATCAAGGCTCGATAAATACTCGGATCGAATGGACTCGACTCGGACTCGAGCTCGAGCTCGACTCGAGTTCTTAACAAGCTGAAACGAGCTACTCGATATTCGACTAGAAAAGCTCGTAAGCAGCTCGAAAATATAATATATTAAGATTTTATTTTAAAAAAATAAATTAATAATAATATTAATATCTATGTATTGATTTTTTTTAAAATACAGTAAGATTTCATGTATTTAAGGTTTATGTTCGAGTTTGAGGCTTTAATCGATTTAAGTTTAAGAATTTTTTTTTTTCATTTCGAGCCTTTTCGAGTTGCTCACAAGTTTCAGTTCAGGATTTCGAATTCGAGTCGAGCTTGAAAATTTTAAGCTCGCGAGTTTTCGAATCGAGTCGAGCTCAACAATACTCGAACTCGACTCGACTCGTTTACACCCGTAGCCATGTGATTGTTCCAACTTTATCTAAGGTATAGGAACACTCGGTGGTCTGGTAATCCTACTTTTACCCTTTTAATCTTTTTATTTATTTCATCTACTACATCAATAAAAGATAAGTATATATTATGCTCTCCTTTCAGTAGTTGTGAATTCTCATTATACTTATTTTCATTTATACATGAACAACCATTTTGATTGGTTTTCTTCTAATTTCAATGAAAAATAAAATAGTAAATTGAATTAAATCATAATATTTTAAAGTTAAATATAACTTATTTTTTATTTAATAAATAATACTAATAATTAATGATATTTTAATATTTAACTTTTAAATATTTTTATATATTAAATTCAAAATATTTATATTTAAAAAAATGAAATAAGTCCTTGAACTTTAAAAAAAATCAATTTGATTCTCGAACTTGAAAAAATAATTTAGTCAATCTGGCATGCCATTAGCCATGTGACCAACCATCATGGACTACCACGTTAGCATTGTGGATTGTCACGTCAATACCATGAAGTGTCACATCAACAATGTAACAGTCGATGATCGAAACTGTTGGTCAAAAGGTTACATTAAGTTCTTTTCTCCAAGTTCGAGAGCCACATTATTTTTTTCTCAAAAGGACATAAGCTTTCATGTACCCGTTTATCTATTTTTTTATTAATAAGTTCCATCATAAAGTGATTATTTTTCGTTATATTGATAATTTTAGTGACCAACGTATATATATATTTTTAAAAGTAAGATTAAAATAAAAGTTTATTGAAATTTTAACAATTATAACTATACTTTATCAATGATTAAATTTAGCGGTATGTAAATGAAACAGAATATTTGATGAACAACTCATGAAATATTCATACATTATTTGTTTATATTTGATTTATTTAACTAAATAAATGAGAATGGTAAAATAATTAGGATAAACAACATTATTAGTACACAACTATCATTTTTGTTATGTTTTGGTTACCTAACTATTTTTTTCAAAATTATACATAATGTTACGCTTTGGTTTATTTTTATCACCGACCATTAAAAAATTAACAAAACTATTAATGTGATATTTTTTATTTTTTTTAATTGATGACATGTCATTACTTTATGTCGACGCATTAGTACCACCGTTAATTTTTTAACGGTGGATGACCAAAATGAACTAAAACTAAACATTAAGCATTATTTTGAGAAAAATAGTTTGGTAACTGAAACAAAATAAAAGTAATAGTTAAGTTACTAAGCGTATAATTTATCCAAAATTTATGTTCATTTAATAATCGAACAAAACACAAACAGAGAAGTGTCTGATTCGTTTATGTTCATGCAAAAGCTCCTTTTTTGGCTCATATATACTCATTTATAAGCTCATTAATTTTATTCTCATTTTCCTTTTATCTTTTTTATATTTTAAACATGGGTAAAAGTATGGATTAAATTAAACACATTATGAACTTTGGAGTTCAAATTGTAAAGCCTAATGAACTTAAAGAGTAGTGATGTAATTTTACTATTTTTTAAATGTATAAACAACAACAACAAAACTCTATTCCCATATGTAATGGGGTAAGAGGGAGGTATGCTACCCCTAACTCCAAGTTGAGAGCAGCTTCCGTGGAAGACCTCCGGCAGTCAAAAAATTTAAAATAAAGATAAAATGCAATGCATCTATAAATAAATAAATACATAGTGGAACAATCTTCGTATGCAGTCTTCATATGCGCGTCTGTAATGGTAAGTAATCCCTGCAAATAAATTTCTGCATAAAAATCTCTACATATAGACAGAGATGTAAGACCCGACTAAATTTAAAAAGTGGAAACATGAAGAGAATGATACACAGAAGTCAACGATTGCAAGCTACGAGAAGGAATAAAGTCAAATGGGTAACTCTCGTCGTAGTTTGACGACCCTTGACTCCGCTACCGGAGAAGAGTCCTTGTGTCCCTTGCGCGGGTGATGCCTCTTCCATTAGTGCTCCTTCCTCCGTGCCTCCGCTCGGTCAACCGTCTCTGGAAACTTTTTCTATCCTCTCTTGACTCGCTAAGCTATCACTTCCGGAGATCCCGGGAAAGATTCTACTCGCTTCCAAGTCGAAGAAAAAAGAAGAGAGGGCATTCCCTCACAGTGATTCTCAAGAAGCTTCTTCTTGAACTTCCCCTTCTTCCTTAAAAGGAAAATCGTCCACGGAAGGCCTAGAGAGAGGAACAAGCAATGTCTTAATCAAATGCCTAGTGGCATGATCAAAGCCGATGATCGTAAGCTATGTCCTCCATCCATCACGATGTCGAATGAAATTATCCATGGAATCGTGCGCCGTATGAAACTGGAAAATAACTCCCCCTATCCTTTAAAGCCTTGTTCTGGTTCTATACCAGACAACACCCCTTGAGATGTTACACCCTATGGCTGTGACCCGCACAACTCGGCTACCCTGGTCTTAAGTCTCCATACTTTCCTATTACAGGTTATGTCCTCAGTAAGGGCTAAATCCTTCAAATCAGATCTCAAGCAGTCTTCACACTTCCACCTTGGTCGTCCTCTCCTTCTGGCACCGTCGACTGTAATCGACTCTACCCTCCTGACCGCATCCGACGGTTGTCGCCTAAGGACATGCCCAAACCACCGTAGTCTTTCATCCCTCAATTTTTTAGATACATGCACCACCCTCAAGGACATCCTAATAGCAGAGTTTGGTGTCATGTCCCACAGAGTCCTACCACATGCCCATCGAAGCATTCTCATTTCTACGGCCTCCATCCTCTTTACGTGATCCTTCTTGATTGCCCAACATTCTGATTCATATAGCAGCGCTGGTCTTATTGCCATTCTATAAAAATTTCCCTTAAGTTTTAGAGGTACCTTCTTGTCACACAAAACTCCAGTAGTTGCCCTCCACTTTAGCCATCCCGCCTTTATACGGTGTGTAACGTCATCATCTACACCCCCATCTTTATGTATCATAGACCCTAGCTACTTGAAACAATCCTTTGAGGGGAGAACGTGTCCTTGTATACAGACTTCTACATCTTCATCGTTTTGGTTCCCACTGAAGTTTGAACATAAACACTCTGTCTTTTCAATATTGATCCTTAGACATTTTTCTTCCAAAGTAGTCTTCCAGGTAGCCAGTCTACTATTCAACTCAATTTTTGTTTCAGTAACTAGG